CTACAACAGCAACTACTACTACTACTACTACTACTACTACTCCTGCTGCTACTATTGCTGCTACTACTACTGCTACTACTACAACAACAACAACAACTACTACTACTACTACTACTCCTGCTACTACTACTACTACTACTACTACTACCGCCGCTAGCACTAGCTCTGGCACGAGCAGGAACACTACCACTACCGCTACCCTGCCCCTACCCCTCCTTCTTTTTTCTACTACTGCTACTACTACTGCTGCTGCTGCTACTACTACTACTACTACTAGCAGGCATATGCTTTGCTTATGATACGGGCCTCGCAGAACTCAGGCACATTGAGTCCGCGCGGAAGTGAAAGTACTACTACTACTACTACTACTACGACGACGACGACGACGGCTACTACTTCTACTACTGCTACTTGTGCTCCTACTACTTTTGCAATGGCGGCTGCCACTGCTTCTGCTAATACTGCTGCTGCTCTGCCCCGCTGCAGTCCCGTGTTGAGGGCTGGTCAGGCTCAAAGCTTCCAAGTCTGAGTGCCATCTTGAAGGCTCTGAAGATCACCGTGAGATCTTGGGTTTCAGCTGCGGGCTTGAGAGTGTGGGAGTGAAGTTGCGAGGCATGAGGTTCCCGGAAGACGCACCCAACGCGGAATCCTTCGCCAATTGCTCTTTAGACTTACCAGGCGGTGACTCCCCAACAGTCGCCCAAACCCTGCAGCGCTTCCAAACTGTGAGGTCCCATGCCTTTCCTAGTCACTAGTTCTCAGAAAATGAAATGCGGCAGAACTATTGTAAAGACATTATATAGGTGTGACTGAATCTTATCGTTGTGTAAATGCGCCTCCTTAAGGTTTCATATTTCCGTCAACAAGTGACAAGGTCGTTTCGGGATGAAGGTTTTTGGATCGGATACACTTACATTCAGACTTCACTGGATGCAGAATTTTCCTACGAGGGTTCATCCCTAGGAAAATGCTTTCCGCAAGGAGGGCCTTGGTGGCCATGGAAGAATCCATTCAGAATGCATGGAAATTGAAGAGTCGACAGCTTCAACAAGCCAAGGCCTGTGAGAACAATGCATTCAGCTAGGGTCAGTGCTCATGACAATCACACCGACAGCAAGCCCGTGTAGGTCCTCTGTTGTGAGTCAAAGCAGAAATGCCACAGCCACATCGTGTCAACCCTGGCTTCTGCTGCAGGAGAAACCGGAAGAGGCGGGGACACGGATACTCCTGGGCAATATGTTGGAACAGCTCCGGATTCGCTGAAGTGTTGGTTATGGCGTTCAGCCCATGCAGTGTCGTATGCTTTCTGTCCGGTTTATGCTTTCGGCCGGGTTCTACATGCAGGAGAAAGCATGTCGTATTTCCTTCAGGCACAGGACTCCTTTGCAGACGCTTTTCGGGGGAGCCTCTTGCGAAGCAAACTTTGAAAAGGTTGCAAGGACAACCTCAGGGTTCTGGGACAGGTAGAGGGCAGAGACCGATCTCGGGGCTCGTGTGTGAAGAACTGGAGCCGTGTCTGTCGGCTGCGCCGATCTGGGCACTTCGCTCTCACAAGTTTTGCCCGTAGAACGTCCTCGTCGTCTCATCGACTGGCAGATATTCATCACGGAAGCCATCCGTATGAGACGTTGATCTTTTGAAGCGCAGCACGTATTTGTCAATGCAAATTGCGAAGTCGTTGGCGACGGTCGATTCGTCCAAAGTCTCTGACACTTGCACTATTCAGAAACAGTGAGCGACTGAGCGTCAAGCTTCTTGCGTGAAGGCCGCAGTGCCGCCACCGCCAGCACTAGCAGCACCCCCAGAGAGGGTGTGCAGAAAAGAAATGCGCTGTCTGGTAACAGTGCAGCCCTTCGGCATTTCGATGGATGACGAGGCATCAGACTCGAGTGCAAGAAGGGAGTTTGAAGCATGAGCTTTTCCGGCGGCGACACTAGACACTAGCAATATGATCAGACACCGACTTCGACGAATTTTGACCTGAAGTAATGGCAGTGCAGGTAACCGGGCATGCTAAGGCCCTGGGCCCAGAGTTGTAATGTTCGCAAGCAAAGAAGCAATCTCCAGTGGCATTTGTCTTCCAGGATAGCGGCAACGACGGAGGCATTAATTAACCTTCAATTTCGATCTGCAGCATTTCGCATTCTAGAGAGTGAGTTCCGCCTTGGGTGACTGCGAGGTAGAGCCTCCACTGACAGAATTGGCTCCCGAAGAGGAGGAAGAGGAGCCGCACAAGAGCTTCGCAAGCACTTCAGCCACATGCTTCAGTACCCGCAGAGCGTCGGACAAGCCGTAGAGAGCCTTCCTTCGCTGCTCTGCTGCCTTCGCATCGTTGTAACCGGCTCGCGCTTGTCAGCAGCGGGTCGGCAACTCGCGTGCTTCGCCCACCGGGAGCTGCGCTTGAGAGTTCGGTTCAAAACTACAGGGTCTCGTATAGGTCATGGTCATCGGACGGAGCGGCCTCGGAAAAATTGCTCCTCCAGCATCAAGTAAGCTTGCAGCTTGCATGTCCTGGTAGCACAAAGATCACCGTGCAAAGTAGTCGGCGCATTGGGCTTGTTTGGCGATGAAGACTCCCTTGCAGACGTTTGCTTAATCGTTGTCTGTCAGCGGTCTGCTAGCAGGTTGTTTGTATGTTGCCATGCAGGAGGATGTGGGCGAGAACGGTGCCTTGCCTGCACCCAGCCTTGCTGGCCAATGGTCGCTGCACGAATTTTCCGTTCAGAATGCAAGGTGGCGAGGCGCATTCCATATTCCAGGCAGCTGTTGCCGCAAGTGGCAGTTCTCAATGCTTTCTTCATTTAGCTGCAGGGCAGCGTGTCTTTGGAGGATCAACGACGAATAGAGGAGCCACGGGCTTTTGCAGCTGCTGCGAATAAGCCGAGATTCCGTTTCCGATTTGGCCGACACTCTTCGTATCCAGACTTTTCAGGAGTTTAGCCTATATGATCCGAGAGATGGCAAGCTGCGTTCGCAGCTCAACTTCCGCTGTGATGTGTTGACGGTAGGTGCATGTGCCTTCTGCCCATCAGCAGGTGACCTGACCTTTGACGATCAGGCATGGGCATGTTGAGGGAGCCTGAGCATGTGTGCTTGCTCAGACTGTAACCCGGAATCCTATGCTGCCCGCGCTGGCCTGTGCCATGCGGTAGCCACGTCAAAACCAGCAACCATCTGGCAGTACCGTTTTTGCTCACCCGAGCCAGGTGGCACGGAGAAAGAAGCTCACAGAGGAGTGGGCTAAGATCGTGTGGCTCGGATCTGCCTCTCGCTACTGTCGCCAACTGACCCTCTGCGAAAGTCCAACCCTGCGCAACGTTGCACCTAGGCAAGAAGAGAAGGCAGGTGTACTTCCCAAGTGCTGGGTGATGACATGAAGATGCCGGTAGCTCCGTAGCACACATAAAGACACGGGGAGTTATCACACAGCTTGTTGTAAAGCAGGATCAATCCTGCTTCTGGGCTGCATTGCAGGCGGAGATGAAGAAGAATCCTCGCAAGGCTTTTGCCGTCCAAGCACCAAACCTTGAGGACGCCTCAGTGTTCGATTGTGTTGCAGATTGCATGGTGGGTGTGTGTTTCGCAGTTGCATGCAGGTGTGTGCATGTCAATATTCAATTGTCGCGACACGTTCTGGTGTCGCATTGGGAAGATGACGATGGATAGTGGGCCGTGTGAATGTGACCGAAGACATCCACGAGCTTGTTAACCTTTGTCCAGGACGCATTCTACCTCATCGCAGCCGCTTACGACCTCAACGGCAATGGCTTGTTGCATGGACCGTTGGTTCATATGCCTTTCAGGCTATTGTGTGACATGCACACGACTTTCTTTCGATTATCCGAGTCATATTTGCAGTGCCATAGTAGCAGAAGTAATGGTAGTGGCAAGTGGTGGTGGTGATGGTGGTGGTGGTGGTAGTGGCAGCAGCTGCAGCAGCAGAAGTCGTGATGGTGGTGGTGGTGGTCTTCATGGTATAGTAGTAGAAGTACTAGTCGTCGTCGTCGTAGTAGCAGCAGCAGCAGCAGTAGCAGCGGCAGCGGCAGCGGCGCGGCAGTAGCAGTAGCAGTAGCAGTCGAACCAGAAAGAGTAGCAGCAGTCGTAGGCTAAACTAAACCTCAAGCCCGAAACTCTAGACCTGTGTGCGGAGAAAGGGCCGCTGCATTGAACCAATCCCTGAAGCTCATGGTGGTTAGTAGAACGTGGTAGTGGGAGGAGGAGAAGGAGGAGGAGACGGAGCAACGGCAGTGGCAGCCTGAAGCCTTAGGTTGGACGACTACGAAGTTTTGACTGTCCTGGATCGCTGCAAGCTGCTGGACTCGCGTCCCGGCTTTTAAAGCCGTTTGGGCAGCTGCATGCTCCGGCCATGTCGTGTTAAAGCACTGAACGAGCCAGCGTGTTGTCGCTGAGGAAGCTCACGGCCACCAAGATCAAGTCATTCTTTCGAACTTGGGCTGTAGGCCCGATGAAGTGTCATTAAGCAGCGGGGATTAGATGGCAATGATTAAGTTTGTCAGCTTCACTCAGCAGGCTGCAACAAGATCATCGGAGAAAACCTCAACGCAGAGGACATTGTCTCTCAGCTGGAGGTAAAAATCGCTGTGTTTGCGACCTGTTTATGGGAAAGATCGCTGACTGTAATTTCCGAGGAAGACGGCATTGGATACGAAGAGCATTTTCGCTGCAATCTGGGTGTAGCATTCGATGGGAGCCTTCAGCTACGCAGTTTTGGGGATTTCAGCTGTAGTGGAGACTAGTTGGCTCATGCTGGTAGCTTGTTTCAGGCCACAACTGTGCAGCGAGCACACAGAGCACAATTTGGCCTGAGGGGCCCTACTTCATTGCAAGGACTGCGCTTCATCCGCAGAGTTCGCACCCATCGTGTCTTCCAGCCAGAGTACGAACACTGCACGTGTTGAAGGCAAAGCACGAGGATGATGGACTAGCCACTGTCCGCTGAGGTTCACATCGTTGCTGCATTGGATCGCAGACATGAAGGCCCGTTTGATCTTACTGCCGGATGTTCTCTGCAAGCGGCAGCCTGTACGTCTTGCCGGGAGTGTTCGAGAGCCGATGCGAAGCTGGTTTGCCAGGGCATTCCTTTGGCCCGCTGTCGAGCACGAGTAATCCGCCTGTCGCACAAGACCCTTGGCTGATTCGGATACACATGCTGAGATCCACTGCGGTCGTAGACAACTTTACTTGACTCTAGCTGTGAGCGATCGTCCGAATCACGATCTGCAGCCGTGCGTTTATTGCAGAGGATGGTGGTGGACTCAAGGAGTTCGGTGAAGCGCAGGACGGCTTTCGGAACGAACTTGCCACAAAGCAAACTTTGCACTCTGGCAGTTTTCTACGCTGAGTTCCCGTCTCGCCTCGTCGCAAGCTGATTGACGAAGGTATCCATTCTGTTGATCTGTCCGTCCAATTATGTTCTGGACTCTGCAGCTTCAGAGGATAGTAGCACGTCTTGCCTCAGCGCGCACTTACAGGTCCATCAGTCATATCTTTTAGTCTATGCTGTTCCTTGCCTTCTTCCAGGGCTTTCTTGCTGTGCTGGTGCACATCTTAAGCCTCCGGCAAGCAGGGCGCGCCGGCGCGGACTTGAAGAGAAGAGTCCGACTCCTGTAGGATCCAGTACCACCGAAGGGTGGACCGCGGGCAGACTATCTAAATTTCTCTTCGGCGTTTCCGGTGCAACGTGATGTAACATTTAGCATGTTCATCATCGGCCAGACATGAGCTTCAAGAAGTCCGACTCTCTGCAAGGAGTGCATTGTCAAGACCTTACGACAGAAACTGGCAGTGATGTATTGCTGTGTAGCATGTTGCAGGCTTGCTCTACTGTTCGATGGGTTCTTGGCAAGCATATAGCACGGGTCGTTTTGCGATATTGATGCTGCCAACTGTTCGGCTGAGTCTTCTGAGTCTTCTGAGGTTCTGCAAAAGAGAAGCAGAATGGATGAGCCCGCAGCTCTTCTGGAACAGTTCGTTTTGACAGCCCAGAGGTAGTGCACGCAGGAGCAAGCGAGTGCGATCGCCGCATTCTTGCGCATCTCGCCTCAGCTGCCGCGGTGTCTGCCTTTGGCCCTGTGGCCGGTGGTGGCCCAGCTCAGGCGCTCCGCCTTCTTCAAAACATGCACCCTGTGGGCCCCGACCTGCCATAGCTTCGAACACTGGCTCCGGGTCGCGTACCTCACGGATCCTCACGGCACCGGCTTGCGGCTTGGTGTTGCCATTGAGGCGGTTGAGCCGTGGAGCACCACTTCGCGCATGCCGCGCCAAGCACCACCCATGATTTCCTCCTCGTCGCTATGCGGCTTGTTGCGCGCCGGGTCCACTTATATACAGTCGCAGTCAAGGACGCGGATTGATTTCGGCGCAAGCCTGAAGCGATTGGTCGCTTTCTTCTTCAGTCGCCAACGTGGCCCGACGCTTTGCAGGGCCACTGTCATCCTCGACCGTCTCCGCATCGTGACGGAGATCAAGTGCCTGCCAAAGCTAGGTCGCCGAATTGGTCACATTTTACACGAGGAACCAGACGTCAGAGACATCGGCGGGTCTGGGACGGCCACCCTGCGCCGCCGCCCGCGACCTCCAGAGCCATTCGTAATGCAGAAGGTTATCACCGCGCAGTTCCCCCGTCGATTTGGAGGCTGTTGAGGTGGTCGTCAACATCAACTTCACCTACGCAGTAGCACGTAGCCCCGCACGAGTGCAGGATGTGAACGGAATTGCTACGGCCCTTATTGCTTCTTAACAAGTTGTGAGTGAATCGCTTGGTAGCGCATGCGCGTATGAGCTACATGTCACGACCAGAGATCTGTTGTGGCTAACAGTTTAGCGGGGAGTGTAGCGCTTGTTGAGTCTTGCATATCTTCGTCGCGAGGCACGAGTTCACCAACTTGTGCCATGCATCTTGGATGTACTGAGACCCACGGTTTTTTGAAGATTCGACTATGTTGTTTGCAAAAGCATGAGCATGGCTTGGATGTCGAGACTGACATGCGGCCTGCATGCGGCCTTCTGTTGCTGCTTTGCTGAGACCACGAATCTCTACAAGCAGGGCGTGTTCTCAGCAGGGGACGCATTCAAGGCCTGGCGGCTCCTGGGACGGGTGCAGGGTCGGGTAAGTCATGGAACCGATTTTCGCATGTGCAGTTGGAACGTGATGAATCGGAGTCTGCACTCCGCTGTTCCCTGAGATCTTCTACCAGACGCCGGGGCTCGAGAATCAGCGCATGGCAGCTCGGCGAAGTTCTCCGGCATTGCTTGTCGCATCGCGCCGAGTCTTCTGGATGCTTCCTCTGCCCAAACCGTGCCTCGGCGACTTGTCGTCACCTTTGAGTGCTTGGAGGATTTCGCCGGGTTCATGCATGCGATCCAGCAAGTCGGTGAGATGTGGCTTGGCTTTCGCTCGCTCCGCAAAGCTACAAGCGCCACAGATCGTCCTGAGGTTTGGCAAAAGTGAGGCCCAATCTGCGGAGATGTTTGCAGCTGCAGTTGGACTCTGGGCGGCAGCAGTGGTTCTTGAATTGGAGTACAGATGAGTCCACGACCTTCAGACTCAGACTTGTCAATGCTTCGGGGTCTTTTCTCGAGCTGAAGATCAAAACACTGTCGTCCTCAGTGCTTGTATCTGTGGCGCGATCTCTCGATATTGCTGGGAGCTAAACACAACCAAGGTCGCATGGACACTGACGAGGCGCATTTGGGATGACTTGTTACTTGTATCGGAAGCTTCAGGCGAATATGTCGGACATAATTAGAACTCCTTCACATTCTCGCACCAGCAGAGCTTCAGAAGTGCGAGGCTGCGGCAGTTGGAAATTGTACACGTATGTCTTTCATCATCACAGCGAATCGACAATTAGTGCCTTCAGGCCTCCAGAGGGGTGGCAGACTGGTGAAATCGAAGATAGAACAGAACCCCAGCAACGTGTGCTGTGAGCCTTTGCGAGCCACACAGGAGACTGTCCGGCGAATCAAGCTTCGCATCAAGCACGCAGCATCCGTTCATGGTGAGAACGGCAGCTTGCCCAGCTCGACTCTGCCAGACCTTGTGGGTGCGCAGAGACCGATGTAGCTACAGACCTTGCCGCTTGTCAGAAGAGGGCCCTGCAAGCAGAAATTCATGGTCCAGCCAAGGTTGGCGTGAGTTCTTCCACGAGTGCGACCAGGCAGTGTATCCGCCCGCGAGTTAAATTGATGCTGTGCAGCATGGTGCACCCATCGGCAGGATCAATCGGGCTACATGGACATTGATGAGCATCCTGCTGCAATCCATACGGGCAAGTTGCGTGGGGTGCGTCTCTGTTCATCTTGCTTTTCTGGCTAAATAATTAATACGTCAGAGAAACAGACATAGAGAAGGAGACTCAGAGAAGCGCGAATACACGCGTGCAGTACGCAAGGCCATGCAACGGGGACCATGCAACACACCTGCAGCAACCAAACAAGCAAGCAAGAGCGAGACAGGAAAGAGAGCGCTGAGGCCGTCCACTCCTCTCGCGTTGTTGGCTTCTGCTGCCTGAAATGAAACAAACCGGAGAGTGAGGGTAATGGACGGTTTCCAGTAAGAGCCTTTACGCAGCCCACCTGGTGCCGCCACCCAAAGTGGACCTAGCTGCATGACATCGGGAGGCATCGACTGAACCTCATGACACTGAGAGAGACACAAAGCGAGAGCAGGCGGCACAGGCCGCACCTCGGGCTCTCGTTAACTCCCTGTCCATGCTGTACTTCCGTTTGGGATGCAGCGACTTTCATCGTGCTCAATACGAGAGGGAACGATTAACGTGCCAGGGAATGTATTGCTTGAATGTTTGTCCTGTGGCAAGACGAAGCATTACGTAATACCTTGATCTTGACATAGCTGCTGCTCACAATGCAATTTCTGCACCTGAGGTTCCTTGACATGTGCCGCCACAAGCTTCACCTCGACGAGCCTTCGAGTCGTAAGCCGGTCCTCTACAATTCTTTCGTCTTGTCACCATGCAGAGGCTTGCGTTTCCCACTTGTCCTAGGACCGAAAAAGCCATTTGCAGCTTCTCTTCGAGCGGCTGGACGAGGAAACACAACATCTCTCGTGTTTCTTCCATGCCACCTCAGTCTCCCCCTTCCTTTTTCGAGGTTTCCCTTTGGGGTTTTCCGCTCCTCTTGGGAAGGAGGCCTTGGCCCTTGGAACTCCCGACGTTCCTCGCTTAAGAGTTGCCAGTTCGGGATGCTGACGATTGCTTCTGCTCTGTTTCGCAAAGTAAGTCTATTCGGGACCGGTGATGCCCAACAGCACCTCTCACGATTGACAAGCATCGGAGGAAGGCATCAGGTATAAATGTATAAAGACCGGTGGTAGGACTCGTGCTGAAGATGTCACAGTGGCGTGAAAACCAAAGCCTGCACGACTTTCCGCACACACAGCACCCCCGTTATGGTCGGAGTCCTGAACCCTGAAACAGAAATTGTTGGACGAGCGAGCACGGTACTTGTTTCTGGAGCACATGAGTTGCCCAAGACAGCGTTACCAGGACAACCAAACGTCACTGTTTGGGTACCTTAGCTGACAGGCAGCGTTCCTTCGAGGGATTTCACGGTCTCTTTGGCATGCCCCAGATGAAACAGCGTCTTCCGAGCGAAAGCCGCAAAGTCCCCGTGCCAGGATGACTCAGGAGAGCTCTCTATCGACGAGATGATCGCGTTCATGGAGAGGTAGCAGCCGTTATCAATGTGCTTAGAAAGCCGCATGCTATGGAAACTGCAGCTAGTCATGTACAGTGTATAGGCGTGATTGACAATCCCGAAGGGAGGTCGAACTTCAGCACAACAAAGTTGTGAAGCTCTAGGCCTGACAAAGCAGGCCATGACGTGTCAAACACGTTCCTCAAGAGGCGAATCATAACTCCACACCAAGCCGCTGACATGGGAGATTCACTGAAGCCTATCATCGATGAAGCGACCAAACTTACATAACGATAGAGAATCCTCTGTAAAGGGTACAGGTGCTTGCGCTACCCAACATACGCGCGACGTCTACTGAGTCTGCTAAAGAGGAAGCAGGTGTTGCTAGTACTGCTAGGCCTTGCGTTGCTTCGAAGGGTTAAGGCTACTTCAGCTGGCTATTCTTTGGACGTAGAACTCTGTCGAATTGAAGATGAGCTCTCGAGTCACCAATGCCCCTCAACCCCTGACCCGTCGGACTTCATTCGAGGAATTGAGAAAACGAAGACATGCGCCCATCTTCTGTCGCACAAAGCTTGCAGTTGCAAGTGACGCTGCATCGTAAAAATCGGGTGCGCTCTTAGCACATGTAAACGTGGTCGCGAAGGCAGCATATGGCACTGTGCACAGCAGTCAGCTTTGAATCTTTTGCCCTTGAGGTGGAGAATGGCACAAGCTCCAGCTCCAGGGTGGCTCAGGCAGTGGGCACTTAGTCCCATTGGGTCTCGGCTTGTCCCTTTCAGAGTGCAGGTGTTGGAGAGGGCCACCGGCCTTCAGGGAAGCCACCTTTCAGGCCGAGCCCATCGAGCCCTTGGTCCGAGAACGCAGCGACGGATCCTGTCAGGTCTGGAGTCCCTCAAAGTCATCATTCTGGCTGCTGCTTCAGACATGGACACGTTTCCGTACGTTTCCGCTCGCCGCGACTCGCAGCCCTTTTCGGTCCTCTCCAAGGTCAGTGCGCTCAGAAGGGAGCTGCGACCTTGGCTTTGCCTTTGCACCCACAGTCGTCACCAAAGAGGCCGTGAGAGATGTCGCGAAAAGCTTCCGTTTCTTCTTGAGCCCATGTGTGTAGAAAGGTTCGTTTCTTCATATCGCGCTTTTTGTCGACTTCTCGTCTCGTCTTCTGAGACCGAGGCTTGGCGTGAACCTTGCCGCAGGCACAGCAAGAGAGCACCGTGACCGCTCAGACTCCTCATGTTTGCCAGTTACGGCTGCATCTAGGATGAGTCGTATGCCATTTCTCGGATCAATAAATGTCCTATGGTCGTACCCGTTGCAGTTGCAGGAGAGGTGTTGCAGTGCGACACGCTGGAGGATTTGGAGGCTTTGGTGGAGGTGCGACGGAAGTGCCTTCCCGTGCTCTATGACCCTACGATGCTTCGTTAGATCGTGTTTCGCAGTCAGACGGTCTTTACAGGAAGTCTTTTGGCAGACAGATGGGTGACTTCGCTGCAGGCATCTGATGCAAGGTGTCGGCCCAAGCTGCCGAAAGTCGGAAAGGCAGGCAACGCTTGAATCCTCGCCCCGTCCGAAGAAGGATGCAGAAGATTGCAATCGGTCTGATGCCGGCTCGCTGGCAGGACCCTCTCGCGTGTTATTGGCTTACGGATGTCCGCTAGGGTTAAAAGCGCCGAAAGTTGTTGGCATTTGGACAACCACGGGTAAACATCGCACACTCCCGACCCTGTGGATCGACATCCCCAACCTGCTGCCGAGGCCTGACGCACATGATGAGTCTGGTGCAGGTAGGACGGCTATCTCACCAGCGGCACAGCATGGCACAGCCAGTCAGAGATATGCGCAGTTGCAACTCCGACAGGTTCCTATCCAATCTATGCCATTCCTCGTTTCTGGAAGGCATTCATCTCCTCCCTCATGCGTGTGTGTGTGTGACGTGGGTGTGGGTGTGTGTTTGTGTGCGTGGGCGCAGTCATCTTTTCCCTCAGGCGCCTGTTGGTTGGTTGATTCAACTTGACGACATCCCAGATCAAAAGGCGATGCGTGGCCGGCTTGGAAAGCTCAACGTTCGAAACAGCTTGTGTGACGTTATTCATTGAAGTATTCTCTTGTAGATCTAGATAATTCTAGAACATGTCACACTCGATACCAGTACAATAATTTATCTGTATATGTCTTTAAAGCTTCGTTTGCCATGCTGAATCTCCTGTAGTTTTTTCTGCTTCCATACGATGAATCTGTTGTGCAGGCCTCGTTCCGCAGTAACTGCCAAGGTGTCGCCTGCCGTGCGCTGGTGCAGCGCCATGTCAGCCTGCGTGCAACTTGCTCAGCCTGTTGGTTTGTGGAATAACTGACTTTAAATCTTCGTGTCTGTTTTGTCAGTATCTGCTGGCTGTTTGTGGTGTGCGATGAGGACATGGAGTTGCCTTTCTCTATGGACCAGCGTGGTGTACAGTGTTCGGCTGACAAGTCGCTGTCCTTGCACAGGATACAGTCCGGAGATGCGAAATCGTGAGTGCTGAGTGCAGTATTCAAGGGCCGTTTGAAAGCACGAAGTCCACACAGGCCTTAAAATATGAAACACACATTATGTGCTTCGAAAATCCACTGTGACGGGAAAGCGCGACTGCAGATCGTGGTCCCGGATAGCGCCGGGTATGCGCGAGTATGCGCTGGTATGTGCGAGTATGCCTGAGTATGCGCGGGTATGCGTGGGTATGCGTGGGTATGCGTGGGTATGCGCGAGTATGCGCGAGTATGTGCGAGTATTCGCCAGTGTGCGCGCGAGTATGCACGTGTATGCGCGAGTAGTGTATAGGTACGAGCGAGTATGCGCGAGTATTATAGTAGCTATACAGTCGATAGTACATGAGATACTGTAGACTGCTGCTATACATTGTAGTGCTACTCCGGCGTACTCGGAGGGCAGTCGCCCATCGCGTCTGCAATGCGAAAACGACAATCCACCCCGGTGCATTCGGGCAGTGCTTTGAAGCTGGGGTTTCGGCCTCGCGGGCCAAATCAACGCTCCTGGACCGTAGGCATGTCAACAAGCGGGTCAACTGAAAGGCAAACGCTACATCTGGTGGCTTACGCCGCAGCATCACTCCAGGTCAGATATTGTCCTTGGCACAAGCTTGGCAGGTTTTTTTTGTGGCATTCAGGCCCAAAAGTTAACCTTGAAGGCACCTAGGAAACTGGACATGCGTGGAACTTGTCAATAAACTCACTTCGTGGCGTCGAGACGTGCAAATCAAGCTGGCGGAGCAGGACGTGCTCTCACCGACAAGGAGGCAAGCGTGTCAAGCGAACGGTTACATGCACTTTTCCGCTTACTACGCTCTAGAGATGCACTTTGTGATTCAGGACTTGTTCGAGCTGAGAAACTACACATCGGTCTGTCGAAGATTAATGAAGATTGAAGAATTCACTTGGTTGCGAGTGGTTTTGTGCAGCTGTCTCACTTCCTAATGCACCTAGGTAGTATTAGGGAGACACCTTGAGGGGACTTTTCTTTACCCTTCTTATGGCTGTCTTACGGGGGACCTTATTGACAGGGTCTAAATATCCGCAAGGGTCCCCCTGATCCTAACTCCTATCTCAAGAAAACACAATGGATCTTCTCTGCATGGTGATAAGGCCGCTCCCTACCGCCTTGCTGGTGATGAAGTCACAGCAAGCATGTGCCGGCCTCCTACGGCGTGCTTTTTGGTTCATGTCGCCAGGCATGTCCAGGCAATGCTCATGAGACATGCAAGACGAAATCCCTCCATGGCCTGATGGAACTAAGTGGATTTCGTGCTTCCGCTATCCCCTTGTTCTACCTTTTGTATGGTGTACCTCGAGTGGAGGATTTGTGCAGAACACTAAATGATTCACTGCACTTCGGCAAAGTGTGAACCAGGGTTCTAAACAGATCAGCCGGAGCGTAAGTAAGACAAGGGCTTACTGTAAGGCTTGGGCAGCCACGGAAGCCTCTACCACCATGAGATTGGAACGGCTCGCTGGTGGTGAGACTGGGTTTGTCGATGGCTTCAACTTCGTTCTCGGTAGAGAAGCAAAACTTGGCCTTTCCACGTGCGTGCAAGACTCGAATCGTGTGAGACCACCTCAGCTTACATACATCCTCTTACTGCCACCACAGCTGACAGCCAGCGACACGGGCCATGGCCGAGCTCCAACTTGTAGCGGCGTTGCTCGCGCAGCAGCAGCATAGTTTGGTGGAGCACCATCAAATGTTCATCTTCTCAGGGGTAGGACCTGGCGCTGTTGTCACGCCCTTCGCTTTGCTTCGTGTGCCGGCTCGGGTTCAGGCTGTAGGATGCGAGCGTGTGTCGCTCAGGGCGGGCATGGATCAGATCAAGACTACGTAGAGTTTGGACAGTTCAGGGTTCAGGGTTTTGAACATTCCCACCCCCCGCTACTCCAGCCCCCTCAAAAAGATGCGCTCGCGTGTGGGCGGTCCCTAAGGTCTTGGGGCTGCCTCGGTGCTGGTGGTGCTGCGAGCCCTCCTCGGTGTGCCCGAGGCAGGCCCAAGGCATTGTGGCAGTGTCTGGCCCGGGAAGCATCTCCAAGCAGAGGTGGGCCGTGGGCCGGCGCTGAGCACCGGGGCCGGAAAAGGCCTGTTAGCAGCATGGTCGCGAGCCTAGTAGACTCCGTGCATGCGGGCGGCATATGACGGCACCTTCCGCATAGGAGCATGCGTCTGTGAGCGCAGTTGAACTAGGGCAGTACCATCCCCTTAGGCCGAGAGTGGCTACGTCTCCGGCTTCCGGGGGCCCTCCACTCTGCCAAACTGGTGGGTCCGGGGTTCAGCATGTTGCTGATATGGCTTCTTCAGTGCAGAAATGAACGTGACGATTGCTGTGACACGTAGGGGTTTTGTTTCCGAAATATGACCGAGGATGGAAGAGGCTCGGCCAAATGCAGAATGCATGCCAAGCAGGTTTGAGTTGTTCGAGCCGAAGTCCTTGCAAGCGATCCTTGATGGAACTGTCCGCAGACTGCGAACTTTGAGTGGCTTTGCTTCGAAACGGCAGCAGACCTGCCGGGGTCTCACGGAGCCACCGAAGCTTTTTCGGCTTTGCATTTGGCAACATTGAGGCACCATGCAGCCTGGCTGAAGGCTGGCCGTCGACCACAGTTGGGTCTTATGGACGTGTTGGCAGTCCAAGACGTCGGCGGTGTTGCCTTGAACTTGTCTGCCAGTGTAGCCGTCGTAGACGTAGCTTTCAGCCTCGAGGGGTCCTTGTTGACAAGCATATATGAGGCTTGACATTCAGACAGGGGCATTCTGGCTGCAGGCGCGATCCAGAGGGTTCAAGCCACCTGCATCTATTTCGGCTGCGGGCTTAGTCTGGGACGTTTTGAGTCGGTGCACTTTGTGCCGATCTTCCTGAGTTCTTCCATTCCCAGAAGCTGAATAGTCTTTTCACTCGGAGGTCCTTCTGCTGAAGAGCGCTTCGAGCGCTGGCAAGGAGCTACAAGCGGAAGTGCATGGTTCTCTGTGCTGTTCTTTTGCCTCTTCGCTCGAAGATGCTCGAAGGATTGCGTGTTTGCTTTGCTTCTTGTGCTTACTGCTGAAGCTCACAGTTTCTGGGTCCATCAGAGGTTTCGACCTCGGGTGTGGATATCCGAAGTCAACTATACTTCCTTCCTTTCAGCGGAGTAGTTTACGGATTTGGCTTTACTGAAGCTTTGCTCCTAGACACAGGGCCTGTCTAGGACTCCTTCTTAGAAGAGCTTGCGTCTTGTTTTCGTGAGTGGATGGCTTGTTCTACGGCTCCCACCCGTTCAAGCGACCTGTTCGAAAGAAGGAGAAGTCGATCAGTGGCAGAAGGCGTTTTGAAAGTTGGTCTCAGACATGGCCTGCACATCATCGTTTGAGGACCTCGCGTATTTGCACGTGGCGGCAGCCTGAGAGTTCAGGTGCGGGTAGAGCAATGTTTGGACTGATAGGCTATCCGGGATTTCGAATCTCACGCTATCTCAAAGCCTTGGCCTTTGATCCAAGTTCCGATGTGTGTTTGCGAACGCAGCCGGACAGCATCAAATTCCCACTCGGTTAGTGCTGTACGAGTTACGAACAGAAGTTCAAGGTGCAGTGTCTTTTTCTCAGCCTTCTGAGGCAGTCAATCATGCAGTGCCGATGGCTCAGACGTAGGGGGGAAGAGTCACTCGGCCTATGGATTTGGGGACATTAGGATGCATTGTGCTCCCTTGTGCTGTTTTCATGAGGACAGATGCGGCTTGCATCGTGCCGCTGGTTGCCGACTTGTAACGGCCTGAGCTTCATCGTACGGGTGTGACGATGTGTGACGTGCGTCTCGGGAGGCTGGCTCTGCACGATGCAGCACGTGAGTGCAACGGCGACGGCGGTGATTTGGAGGTGTGAGCTTGTGGAATCCTCGAACTCTACTGCTGCAGCATGCACCAGCATGCTGCACTTGTCGCCGTCAGATCGCAGCTTGCAGTGAAAGCAGAGCGCAGATGAGTGCAGAGTGGAGAAGTTCTTCCGCGGAGGCCTCGGCCAGGGCAGCCTTGGCTCGGTCTGCGCTGCCGCCGGCACCCGACGGCCTCCAGATCGCACAGGCAGCCCTGAAGAAACATGCCGTGATGCTGGCTCGGATCTGCATGCACACTTAAGAGAAGGCGACTAACAAACTAGCGCGTGGATGCGGCGTGCATGAACCTCTTCGTAATTCCCTTCTATGGTTGGCGGGAGTTGTCCGCCAGGCCCGATTGAGCACCGCACTACTGCCGGAGCTCATTGAAGGTTCGTGAGGGTGGGACAGGAGTCAAGAGGGTACCTTTCTGCATTTTCACTTTCTGCCAGGCTTGGACGACCGTTTGGATCTGGCCCACAATGGCTGCCCGCCCAGAAAGCGAGGCACAGCATGCGACATGCTACTGCCGCGCCGCGTATGCTGCAGCATTCTGCGACGGCCAGGATACGATCACTATGTGAAGCTTTTGCCGAATGCTGGTCGGGTCTTGGAGGCCCAACCTGTTGACGCATGCAACATCATGCGACGTTTTCTGTCGCTGTAGAGGCGGCCGCCGGAGTGACCGGAATCCCCACTGATCACCTTCTGGTGGTACGCATCTCACATCTCAGTGCAGTCACTTTAAGTTGAAGAAGATGCCACATCATCCACATCTCAGGCAGCTCTTGCCTCTGCCCTCAGCTCGGCGGCGAACCTCGCTCAGGCGCATGGAAGATGACACGAGATTTGTGGGACTTCTTGTGTTTCATGGAGGTGAAGCTCAGCTTGATTGTTCCGATGCGCGATGGTCCCGGTCATGGTCAGGCAGCCATTGGAAAGCTTCCGAGGTGTCTGGAGTGAGAAGCAGCTGTTGCCCGATGCCTGCAGGCAGTTGCCAACCTTGCCTCCACTCGGCATCTGAGCGTGCGGCTGCGCGGCAGGCCGCCCAGCGGGTTCAGCTGTGGCCAGCGTGGTGGCACGTTTACCACGCTGCGGTCTCTCATCCCCCTTTCTGTCTGTTCTTTGGCCGGGCCATGCTGTGGATTTGAGAAAGACCTCCATCAAGTCCTCCGTCAAGAGCGCCTGTCGAACTCGGGTCCACTCCTCTAACCGCAGAAAAATATTGAACTGTTGCAGCCCGCTCTCCAGCGTGCAAAGCTTACTTCCGCGCAATTTCGGAAAGGTCGACTTTGTCAAAACCCCAAACCCCACACCCCCAAAAATCCAAAACAGTTTTTTCCGAAACAACCGTGAAGCCATAAACCTTTGTCATTGAAACGACTCACGGTTGCGTGCGACCGAGTCTCTGATTTGGTGTTGGCATGGACGCACAGTTTCGATGCAGTGGTAGCCTGACACCATGTTCAACTCCTCATGCTTTCGGTTCTTGTCCATGATCCTGACATTGCCAGACAACAGCGATGGCACACTTGGAGCAAGAGAGAGTGTGTGTGCATGTGCAAGCGCCAATTGCAGATCCCTCATCGACATCGCGTTGGACCTGTCAATGCGCTTCAGCCGCTCAGCTCAGCCCGAACAGACTTGAAAGGCTGTGGGGCATGTACCATGCGAAATGTGGCTTTCTACAGGACGGAGAGATTGGCAACTCAGCCAGCTGCTAGATGACGATGGTGACAGGCACGTGTGCGTTGCAGATTCTTGCAGTGTCATTGTGCAGGTGGAGAGGATTTCAGTTTTCAACGGCAAAGCAGCAGTCTTCCTCCGCTACTTACGCTCACAGCACATGTCGTGGGTGCCAAGCTGTCGAGATTCGAGTTGTTGAAGTTGTCTTGACACCAGGCTCTTCATCAATCTACGCAGTATTCCGGTGTTCGATGGTGCCTCTCCAGTGGTTGGCCTACTTACACCGTATTATGAAAAGCTCGCACTGGCTTTCCCACTAAGCAAGGGACATATGAAGGGGCAGCATGCAAGACTGCAGATGAGATGTTGCTGTAGAGTGCTAACACTTGCTGATACCATCAGTTGATTGCCCAGGTCATTGAGCCTCAGGATACAACTCGCAGCCCTACGCGCTTCGTGAGGCACGGCAAGACTTGGTTCGGTGTCCATCTGTCTGTCGCAAGATCTCTCGTGTTCCATGAGATTCCATGAGCAGCTTGCCATTGCAGGGATTACTTCTTGTGGAGTCGTAGTCGTAGTCCTAGGCATCCAGATGGCGGTCAAAGCACATTCACGTGACCAGCCGTTGTAGACAGAAGAGGTTTGATGGCTTCTCGCTGTGCATGTCCTCCAAAGTCATGTGGGCTCGTTTCGCTGACATCGGGATTGGAATGAGCCAGGACTACTGTCAACGGCGGCAAGTCGTTTGACATTCGTTGAACTGCGAATTGAATGGTCGACAGTCATCACTAATCAGAGCAGAAATCAGCTTTCATATTTGCTGGTCGAAGAAGCTTAGTCAGGAATATCGTGGAGATGTTCGCAGACCAGGAGTTGCAGTTTTGCATCGCATGTAGTATGTTGGAGATTGTGGGAGGCTAACAGGTCATGCTGCAGTTGCCAAAGCATCCAAGGTTCAGGTCAGACAGGGAAAGTGTGGAAGCTGCGAAGCAAGGAGACGCTTTACTCTTGGACTCTGTGGCTCGGCCTTCGCGAAGACGTTTGTGGCGAGGCCTTCAGCCGAGCAAGGGCCCCAGCAAAACGGGGACGAATGGTGACGAATGCATCCCGAACATTTTGAGTTGCTCAGCAAGCGCTTGAAACTTCCAGCCAGGCCCTGAGGAGAGCGTTGTGGGGTCAATCAGCCACGCTTGTCTCTTTCAGACTGACTTGCCGTGGCCCTTTCGCCCAACTGCACGACAGTGTCGGAGGACGTCGCTGCAAGAATGTCAACAAGTATAGAGCCAGTGCGGGCCGTGAGCCACTTCTTCGTGACGCTTGAACGTTCAGTGCCAAGACTTCTCGATGCTTAGCAGCTCTTTCACAGACTCGCGAATAAATTTTGAACACCTTAGCGCTCAAAGATCATCAGTGCCGTCAAAGCTGGTAGTTAGTAGGCCCACCTGGGCTCCACGCTTACGACGAAGGACAGTCACCCCCCTGGTGGTTGCACGGATTCTGTAAAGACTCATCTTCCGGGAACTTAGTTAGTAATTCAGTGTCTCCATTCCTGCTTATGACTGGTGCGAAGGTCAGATCTCTCCCTCCCTCTCGTCACGCGCCGCGACTTGTGTGTTAGTGATTGCACCCATCGGTTTGTTTCTAGTATCGTGCGAAGTCCTCTGTACGTACATGCATGCATGCATACGTGATTTACATTTACATGTACATTTATCTTGACAGACATACAAAACAGAAAGCATCATCTCTCCCTGTCTCGGTGTCGCTCTGTCTCTCTCTCTCTCTCTCTCTCTCTCTCTCTCTTTCTCTTTCTGTTTGGCTCCATGTCGCTGGCGCGCTCTCTCTCTCTCTCTCTATCTCTGTCTCTATATCATCTATACTATATGTAAACATTGTACCCTGTGCATACTCCACAACTTGTGTCTGAGTTGTGTGGTTCGCATACATAGCCGCTTCTGAACCGCGAAGGCCAGATCTGTGTCCTTTCCTCTCGCACGCGTCACGACGCTCATGCCACTTACATGTTGCGTTTTTGCACCCCGTGCATCTGAGTCGTACGAAGTTCAGATCTCGTCGCAACGCACCCTGGAGTTGTGGAGCCTGCAATGCGTCTGAATCGTATGGCCTCCCAAGGCTTGTAATTATGCAACTTTCGCGTGGGTTGCGATTGCCCATCCCTGCCTGTTGCTTCTGAATCGTACGAAGGCCAGATCCTTCCCTCTGCCTAGTGTGATTCGCCGCAACTTGTACGAGCTGCATGTTGCCCACCCGTGTGTGCAAAGGTGTGTTTGTGCATGGCAAGGTTTTGCGACAAGTCCTCTGAGAGCTCTGGAAGCGACATGATCGGCGCAGCGAAACAACAATGCTGTGGAGTCCTGGTTTTCAGTCGTTCGAGGCTAGATGCTCGGTCAGGTGTTATGTATGTGGAGTCCGGCCTGACTTCGGCTAGGCCCTGGCTAGGCTTGGGGCTGCATGTGCATCGAGGAAGGCATTACTAATGCACAGCTACCACAGGAGCGAGACCACCATCCATGCCACCACATCGTTTAGGGCTACCGTAGCAGCCGATGTCTTCCCAGTCATTCCACCACAGCTGCAGAGGTACCGTCGGGGATAATGTTGACAATGGGTATTGACACAACCAGAAGTTTGAGCATACACATGCTAGATACAGCTGTTGCGTAAAGCCTGTCCGACACTTTTTTTTCCATAACATGGGGGTCTAGATCGAGATGCAACTCGGACTTGCAAGACTTGTTTTTCTGCTCCAAAGCCATTATGCTTGGGATCACGAGAACCGAAGCTTTCCCGGCCTCGATAGTGGCAAAGGCCAGACTTGCAAGCAACACGGTTCAGCATCTGCCATACCCTCTTAGCATTGAGCTGCTTTAGTTGAAGTTTGTGCTGCTAGTGCCTCTGGTTGATGTTACTGTATACTACAGCAAGCAGGCGTAGCAGTGTCTATGTGAGACTCCGCTCAGAACTTGCATGACGGACAAACATGCCATAAAATGAGCAAGATTTGAGCAGCATCGCCCAAGCTTGTTGAAGCAGCAGATGTCCAGACTGTACCACCAGAGAGTATCAGGACTGGCCGTTGAGCCGGACAGGCCCATGAACACCCGTGCTAGGACCACATCAGAGCCTGGCAAGCATGCACGGATGCGCGGCCCAGAAGATCCCAGAAGCAGCGGAGAGACGAATAGCACATCCACCCAGCTCACCGACTCACCGACCTACCCACATGCACACACACACACACATACACACACTGACTGACTGCCTGATCGCGACTCCCCACGGGAGTTCGCCATGCCAAGTAGCTGTCGCCAGCATGGCTTCCGGCAGGCTTTGCCACCTTGCTTGGTGACAGTCGGTGATGTGGTGCAAAAAACGTGTGTTAGCAAACTGCAGCAACGCAGGTGCTCCAGTTCTGCGGAAAGGCAAGCAGGGCCAGGAGTCCATGAGATGCAGCCTTCCATGCCAATGTGTCCTTGCAGAATACTGCAGATTCCCCATGTAGATCCTCTAAGCTTCGCAGCATTTACCACTCAGCCTCATATTTCCAGTCAAACCAACGGTTCTTGTGGCGTCTCTTGCGATGGTCCTTGTGGGTTTCACGTTGCTCTTGGATTTCGTGACTTCAGCCATCCCCACACAGATCCGGCAACGCCCACCATGCAACTCTTGACGATATTCACGCAAGCTCCCTCTTGAATACTTTAGAGGTGCTTTCGTGCAATGCGCTGGCCTTTCCGGGGCGAGTGGGGGGAGGTTAGAGCGGGGAAAACCCAAAATGTCGTGGGCTTTCCGAGCCAATTATCCCCCATGCTCTAAGAGCAGGTGAGCTAAAAAGACGCACTTTGGAGAGACGCCGCACCCCTGATGCTCGTGATGCTGGCTTTCTTGTGTGAGATTCGGGCCCGTGATGCTATCCACAGCGAAGAATCTCTCTGCCAAGTAAAGTGAGCTCGGAGTGTCACTGCTGTAGGAGCTCTCGTCAGAAAGCTTGTAGCTCCGTCCTCCGGATGCACGTGACTGGTCGTTACCGTCGATGTAAGGAGGGGCTGGCGACGGATAGAACCTGAGAGCCCACCCCCCATTGTTTGATTTAGCATTTATCTGGGTGCGTTCGGACGAGTCGTTTCGTCGTTGAGGGCTGAGGGGATTGGTCCCCATGCTTTTGCAGGAGACCATGGTCCACTTTCGCGGGCTACTCCGTGGGAGCATCCGGATTGCAGTCCTCTGTGGACCTTTCTAGTAAGATTTTGTTGACACAGCACGCTGAGAGTTGTTGCTGTTGTGTCTTTCTTGCAGAAATGAGAGGCAACAGAGACTTAGTGACTTAGTTGCTCGGAGGTAAGTAAAGCACACGCCTGGGTATTCCAGGGTTTCTATTTTCTTCATTGCACAGGTGGTTGTGCTGTTTCAAAAGATGATGTGTCATATGTCTGGCGGCCACCGGCGTTTGGGATCACAAGCAGCAAGCGTCTGCGCAGGCAGCACTACTGGCCCTGGGTTCGTGCTCCACAAGTGTTTTTTTGGCTCCACGTCAAGTGAGGGAGGCGCGCGGCTAGAACTCTGTTGGGATTGCATCCGCTTTGCCTTTGGAGCGGTGGGATGTGCCGTTGAACAAATTGAAAACTTGAGGCTAGTCCGAAATAAGCATAGTCAGCCGGAAGGACAAGGCCGTGGATGTGGGCAATGTTGCCATCGAGGACAAACCCATCGCATCGACGTCCATCTCGACATGCCAGAGTCTTGCGAGTCTTGCATGCAGGAGCTCCTCCCTGCATTGCCCATGGAGTCACGACGATCGCTCCTGGAACATCAGATCACTGCGCCGAGCCCCTCGGCCTGCAAGGAAGTAAGCCGAGCCTTGCCTTAGCGGCTCCGAGAAAAGCCCCGGCAGAGTCCTTGCTTCAGGTCCAATCCAGGCGCTGGCGCTGCCACACCTCGGCTCGGGGAAGCACGCAGCCCCGCGCTCATGTTGTATCACCGGATGTTGGTGTGCAGCTTTGATTTGGGTTTAGCACCATAGTGCAGCAGTGATGCTACATTGGAGAGCATCTGTCTCGGAGCAATTACAGATGTTGGTCTTGGCCAACTTCTTCGACAGGCAACAGAGCCAATCATCTTCTATGGGCCGGAAGCGACATCGATAATTCTCGATGAGAACTTCCATACAACTGTGCGCCCACTTGCATGAGAGTGCAAAATTGCACTGTTCCAGCCCATACTCATGCCGATGAACCTGCTGAGCCTCGCTGCGACTGCCCGACCAATCACGGAAGCAACTTTGAGGCACTCCAACAGCCATCGCATTCGGTCGCGAAGTCCGAAAGCCGCCATACCCAGCTAATCGGTGTGCCGGCCTGCAACGTGTAGTAATGAAGCCTCGGTTCTACTGTAATATACACACTATTCGCTTGCGTGCCCGTGTCACGCTAAGGTCCTGATCTCCGAAACAGGCGCATGTGTATGGGGTGAACTTCAGGGAAACATGGGAAGAGATGTCCCTGAGACTGTCGCAGAGAGAGCAGGGAAGGTGCCATTTTGAGCAAGCTCCGGCCCTGGAAGGCTCGGGCAAAACGTTGGCCTACTTGCTGCCTGCACTGCAGCGTGCGCGTGAAGCCGACGAGGACTGTTTTCGATGCCGGGCCCAGAGCAATCTCATTGATTTTGTGCTGTTTTGTCAGGACGGCGATGGAACCAGCACAGGCTTGGACAGTCCGGACTCAGATGTCATGGCTTTTGTGCTGCAGCCCTTTGCCTTGTGCTTGATTTGGACAGGTCCCAGCTCTGTGATGATCCTGACGCCGACGAGGTTCCAGATCCAGGGTTGAAGGGAACAACTCGCAGACAATACTCAGTACGGCAGGCTTTCCCCTCCCCCCTCGCTTCGTCCAGGGAGCTGGCAATCCAGACCTTGGCTGAGGCCGAGGAGCACTGCCAAGGCCGTTGATCCCAAATAGATCCTTGCTGTCTGATCAGAGACTGATGCTATGTCGCACGCACGTTTCAAGAGCCATGCCAGTCTTACCACTGCTCCGAACACAATGCCGAAAAAGAATGGCTTTGCAGTTTTGAGTGTCTGACGGTGGTAAGTGGAGAGGATAAAGGTTGGAGAGAGTCAGACAAGCCTGAAAGCCTGCAGACCTTGCGATACACAGCACAGTGAGAGACAAAACTCAGACCTGTAAACTGTTCGAGATCATCTTGGCATCCTTTGTGCCGTGCATTTGAAGGGGGATTCCGGTACTTTCAATCCTTCAATGTACCTTTGCAGCCCTTTCGAGCTCTCAATGGAGTTTGTTCCGTCCTTGTATGCATGACATGTCACAACCTCGTGTAACCCAGACAGCGGAGGGGAGTGAACTCTTTAAACAGACCACATATCTGGTCTTACTCGGGCAAAACCTTTCCACCTGCCCCAAACAGCCCCAATCCTAGGATCTTTTCAATGCTCCCCGACCATTCCTGTCTGATCTTCCGAAGCGGGGGAGAGGCTTTATCAGTGGTGCCGAGCTTAGCCTCATTGTTCTTGTGTTTCCTGGTTTCCTTTCGACTCACTTTGATGCCATTCCCAATCCGTACTTCGTTGACTTGAATTCGGGGGAGAGGGGGAAGCCAAATTCAATTTCGCGTCAGCTCCTTCCACACAAAGAGGGGGACTGCATGTTTTTCTTCCTCCTCCCCCAGGCTGGTGAGGGTTCATGGGGGGGGGCATGTCCCTGCCAGCCTGACCACGTCTTTTGTCCAGCCCAGCCTTCTTCGGTCAAATATCGAAGGAGGAGAGTCAGACACCCGGCGGACTGCGGGCGCGCGCTCGCGCGCAGGGCACAGGGTTGGACCGCCCTGTGTCCTTTTCCCCGTCGAGAGAGAGAGAGAGAGGCCATTACTATCTTATTGTGTGTTTTGTTTACTTGGGTTGCGTGGTTTGGACCTCAGTGTGATGTTTTCTTGGCCGGGGGCTCAGCAGCAACTTTTGCGGTTGTTAGCACAAAAGCTAGTGCGAACACACAGCCAGTGCACTTGTGAAACTCCCGCGAAGCACCTTTTACGTCGTATGCAGTCTGGTGAGTATGTGGTTTGCTATCCGGTGCTGCTGTGACTTCCTGGGGGAATCCAAAATCCTCAAGAATTCGGTTGGACATTCGCACGGGGAACAAGAGATCATGTTACATTGTGTCGTCTTTGAGAAGCAACCCCGTGATAATGTCGTGGTGTCCCGACATGCAGTGCCAGAGGGAACAATGTTCAATTCAGTTATTCCAATATGTTTGCTCTGGTCAATCCCCAAAGCACTGCAGTACTGCAAAACAGACGTTTTCCTCCCTCCAAAAGCCCCAATAACATATTGGGGGGCCAACTGGCCGGGGGGTTTAACAGACCCCTCATGCCCTGGGGAAGAAGAAGAGAGAGAGAGAGGCCTAGGGGGCACAGTGCAGCCGTATGTGAGCAAGCAATAAACAGCGAGCTCGCGCACCGGAGCCGGTAGCAGACTCAAGATGAGGCCTCGGGGTTGTTCCAACTTGAAGTTCAGGGCTATGGGGGGTCCAACTGTTGTGCGAACGGGGGCCTCATCTTACAAAGCAGCTTTACTTGAGACAATGGTGGACAGGGCGCCTTCGCGCGCGGAGTGGGTAGGGCTTCCTGCCTGCTCTTCCCATAACCCTGCAGAAAGAAAGAGAGCGAGAGAGAGAGCGAGAGAGTACAGTACGAAACCCTTCTCGGTACGTGTTGTGGTACGTGTAGAGTCTCCCCGAAAGCCCCGGAACGCGGGGGGGCCCCATGGGCCGGGGAGCCTGACACGCTCCCCTGACCCGAAGGAAGAAGAGCGAGAGAGAAGGGAGTACGTGATATCCCTGCCGGGCGACATAGTGATAGATGCCAATGTGGAGGGGAATGGTGGGGGAGCGCGGTGCCGACTTTGCAGGTACGGTGATGGGACATGTACCATTGGACTGAGGAAGACCCACGACAAGAAGGACCCACAATGCCCCCTACATGCCTCGCAGGCAAATGTCCCCTCGCACGCATGAAAAAGCAGCCGGGGGAGGCGGCCGAGAGCACCCGCACAGGCTCAATCCGCCCCCTGTCGGAGATGACTGGCTTTGAGACGCGGAAAGGGCTGATACTTCTTTTCAACCCAGAAGCGGGGGATGAGTGGATCAGCAAGACCATCGTCAAAGCCGGGGGAGACTGATGGACACCTCGACGGGGGAAGTTGAGCAAGGAGCAAACAAAGGCGTATGAAAGCTACCTCCGTCGACACCAAGTTCGTAACACAGTGGGGAGGACGAGACACGAGCCTACATATGCCGTTTTCCTGAGCTAAGCCAAGCCCCTCCTGAAGAGCGTCAAAAAGATCAGGAAGCGACTTCGTGCCAGCTATGGGGGGGAACCACTGTGCTACGACAAGGCCTTCGCCTACAACCACGAAGAAAGCAGCAAAGATAAGAAAGGGGGAGTAAAAGACCCCAGAGACGAAGACCCAGACCTTGGACGAGCAAACGGTGGACCTACAGCTGGGGGAGTATGTGAAAAATGAGAGAAGTCACCCTGCCAACCAGCGTGCGAAAAAGGACCACACTGCTGAAGACAGCCCACCAGACTGGGGGAGACGGAGGAAGTGCAGGCATCTGACGGCGACCAACAATGGCCAGGGGGGAAAGCTGGGAGACCCTCAGATCGAGGGGATAGCCCAAGCATCCTCGCGGAACGTCCCAATGAACCGAAGGGGGAACCCGACGAGAACTTGACGCTGAGCGAGGGGGAGGTGGTCGTGCCTGATACCTAGCCGAATGTGGCTGGACGTTCAACGAGTACAGGCACATATGACCAAGGCGTGGAGGGAGAGTACACCAAGCAGCTGACGGGGGACGAAACAAGTTACCTGCAGTTTTGGGACCCGGGGAAGCTCGATGCTTCGTGGCGACCGTGGCAACTTTGCAAAAAGACCTGAGTACCGTCTGATTTTAGGTGTGAACTTTTTATAATAGGCTTGCTAGCCACGCTCTGTTCAACCTGTACATTGGGACGCAGTGCCCTTGATCCTTGACTCTTTTCAACTCACCTTGTAGCTCAACCTGTTCCGGCCGACAAGATAATTCGGGGGAAACTTGACGAGACCCAAATTAACTCTCTGTTCCTTTCAGTGAAACAATCAGAACCTGCTCATATGTAGCAAGGGGGAAGACTGCACGCTCTTGTCTCGCTGTCCCAACCCGGAATCCCTCAGCCGACGCCTGGGCCCCCGCCTTTGTATTTGACATGCCCGATATTTGCACAGGCATTTGTCTTGTTACGACCGTCAGCTGGGGGATTTTTTGCTTCCATCGCCATACGTTGTAAAGCCGAACTTGGGGGAGGCTTTCCCGTGTATAGCCGAGCCCTCTATGGAAAATCTCATAGGGGGGACCAAGCACACCCGTGAACCGCAGGGGCGCGCTTGCGCACGGGGTGTAGGGTCGGACTGCCCTGCACCTCTTACCTGGAAGAGAGAGGGAGAGAGAGAGAGAGAGAGAGGATCAGCAACCCTCTGCAGACGACATCGTGGAGGGGATCAAGCACACGTGGCCCAGTGCAGCTACCTTCGCAACGATCTTCCACAACATGACCGTGGCGGACATCAGGAAAGAATGAGGGATGCCCGCTTCCCCCAATACTTCGGAAGCCTCGACCCGTGAGAAAAGGGAGCAAAAGGAGTCCACGGGAAGCGTCCCTGGAGCAAGCGCGGGGGGCGAGCCACCATTAGACCAGGACGAGCTCGTGAAACAGGTGATGGACGAGCTCAAGCAACAAAGCGGGGGAGCTCCAGTGCAACCAAGCGGGGGAGCCCAAGCAGACCGAGAGGAGGAGCTCATCGACATCGAGATCGACAGTGGTGCGACCATCAGACCCGCATCGCACCTGGCAAAGCAGGCGGGGGAACAGCTAGGCCAGCAACTTCGGCGGCAAGAAGAAGAACGTCGCCGCGCTCTACGGGTGGGAGGTCTCACCGTCAAGCTTCCTCCGGCTAAAATGGGGGAACCCGCCCGCGGGACTGTCACTGCCAAAGTCAAGCGTGTTTCCAAGACATTGGGGGGACCGCAACCGCAGGAAACCTTGGCGGCGAGGATGAAGAGAGTCGCTGCATTCATGGACGTGGGAGAAGAGATCCAACGCCAAACGGGGGAAAGAAGAGCGCACCGAGCACGGGGGCACAAAAGAGATCGTCCCCCACTTCGTCGCCGGCGACACCTGAGTGCCCGCTAAGATTGAACATAGCAGCTGAGAAAGGGGGGACCTACAGCCCAGAGCCTCCGTAGTCCGTTTCTGCTTGCACAGTACTTGCCTTGCTTTCAGGGATACCCTGAACTCCGGGGATACCCGCACTTCTTTTGCTCGAACCGTCACGGGGAGCTAACCTTGGCAGTCCCTCCAAACATGGGGGATTCCAGTCGACTTGAGTCCCAACGTATAGAGGGGATCTGCTGTACTCAACCTGCCTGACCGATCGGTGTGACAGGTGCTGTTAACTTAACGTAAACCTGCTACTTGGGGGAAGTCATCGGTCAGAACTCAAGGTTGAAACTTCTTTCACACCAAGCTGGGGATAGCTAATACAGCTAACCTCAGAAGACCGGGAACACGGCTGCGCGCAGCGCGTGG